ACAGCTACAAAAATAAAAAATAAAAATAAAAATCCACACAGCCTGCTGTGCAAATTCTGCCTCCACTCGGCAGTGAGGGAAGACTTAGGCAGTCCTAAGAGGCTGAATGTCCTAAGAGACTGAAGCTCCCAGGAAGGACATAGCAGGCCAATTGTCACTGTGTGCCGCTGCCTGGCTGCTTCAAGGACTCCCATTCTCCACCCGTTCCAAGGCAGTCCCTGCGACCCAAATCCTAAAGCAACCATGGAGACCCTCAGCACTGCCTTTGGCGTGTGGTCTCCCAGACCTGCCATTTGTTCTCTAGGGACAATGACAGCACACCCTTCTAGCATGCCTTTCACCCAAGGAGTCAAGAAGGCTGAACTCCAGTTACTCAACCATAAGCTGTTTTTCTGGCTTGCAAGGCTCTGTCCAGTCTGGATATGCAGAACGGAGCCAGGACTACAAGTGCATTGATGCGATTCCAAAGAGGCCATGTGCCCCAGCTCTTTGTAAAATCCCATCTGGTTTTATTTTACAGAGGCCGAGGAAGGCCCTTCTCTGTGTAAGCAGGAAGCATTTGGGAGAATCAGTTCTTAGCCTACAAATGAGGGGAATCCAGAGCACAGTGGTTTGACCCCCATATCAGCTGCACTGGGTTAGTGCTGCCAACTGGTCTTGGGCAGACCCCATCTCTCCAACCAAACTGGTGATCTCCCAGGAAAAGAAGCCCCTTGATGCATCTAGCTTGCTTAGCTCAGAAACTGCCAAGCAAGGATTTTGGTATCTCCTTGTGAGAACCAAAGGCTCAAGGTCATTAACTTACCAACATGAGTGCACCCCACTCTTGTGGGTCATGCTGGGTTAGAGTATATATATATTTTTTTATTTTTACTATTATTTGGTTCCCTTCTTTATTGAATGTGGCAGGTCCCTTTCAATGTTCTTTGAAAAATCTTAAGTTTAATCTTCAAATACTTAAGGGATAAAATGAAGTTCTGGGTTATTTGGGGGTTTTCGTTTTGTGATTCGGGGTTTGTTTGTGTTTGTGTGCATGCATGTGCATGTGCATACGTGCTGGTCATAGGGTTTGAAATCAGGGCCTCTTGCTGTTGTCTGGCTTTCCTGCTTCAGGCTGGGACTTTGCCACTTGAGCCAAGCCACACTTCCACTTCCAGTTTTTTGCTGGTTAACAGGAGATAAGAGTCTTGAATTTGTCTGGCTGGGCTGACATTTAACCACAATCCTCAGATCTCAGCCTCCTGAGTAGCTATAATTAAGCACATAATCCACCAGAGCCCAGCTAAGTTCTGTTTTGTGTTTTTTAGCCTTTGATTGACCGGACCTGATTAAACACTGAGGCAAGTCCTCTGAGCCATGGACCGCAGAAAGATGTGGGACTCAGAGGCTGGGAGCTGCAAGGTGCCATAGGCATCAGCAGGAGCCAGTAAGCTTTGCCCAGGATTTTTTTTTTTTTTTTTTTGTCTTGGGGCTTGAACTCTGGGCCTGGGCACTATCCCTCAGTTCTTCAGCTTAAGGCAAGCACTCTACCACTTGAGCCACAGTGCCACTTCCAGTTTTCTGGTGGTTTATTGAAGATAAGAATCTCACAGGGGGGGGGGGGGGGCTGGGAAGTTGGCTCAGTGGTAGAGCGCTTGCCTTGCATGCCTGAGGCCCTGGGTTCGATTCCTCAGCACCACATAAGCAAAAAGAAAAAACCCGGAAGTGGCGCTGTGGCTGTGACTTAAGTGGTAGAGCGCTAGCCTTGAGCTGAAGAGCTGAGGGACAGCGCCCAGGCCCAGAGTTCAGGCCCCACGACCGGACCGAAAAAAAAAAAAAAGAATCTCACGGGCTTTCCTGCCTAGGCTGGCTTTGAACTGTGATCCTCAGATCTCAGCTTCCTGAGTAGCTAGGATTACTGGTGTGAGCCACTGGCACCCCATGCCCAGGAGTGTTTTTAATCCATTGGCTGGCTGGCTTTACTGAAACTGATTGTTCTACTAACATAAGCAGCCCCTAGCAGAGGCACTAACTTAACTCTCATTTGGGCATCAGCTTAATTCAATGCAGAAAAAAAGGATTGGCATCCATTGGTAGGTAGTTTTCGTTCCTCAGCCCCTGCCTGGAGAAGCCTCAGGCCAGAGGCCAAGTCCTCTGAGGACACTGTGTCCCTGCAGTGTCTCTATGATTCAGGCTGGGGGACCATGGCCCTACTCCGAAAAGACAGCTTTGAGAAGAGGCCAGACTTTACTCAGGCTCCATAGTCTCCCTTGCTTGTTTTGCATAATTCATCCATGATTTCCAGGGGAACCCCAGCTGTTCCTATCCAAAAAGGGCCAGAGAGGATTGTGAGAGAATCTGGCACCTTTAGCAAGTTTCCCCTTCTCCCCTAGTACTAGAGTTTTGAACTCAGGCTTGTGAGGCAAGAACTCTACAGTTTGAGTCATGCCTTCAGCCCTTTTTCCTCTATTTTTGAGATAGGATCTTGCTCTGTGCTTAGGCTAGTCTGGACCATGATTTTCCTCTTTATACTTCCTATACTTCCTGGCCTGGCTTTGTCTTGTTGAAATGGGATCTTCCAAACAGTAACTGGGCACTGGTGGCTCACGCCTGCAATCCTAGTTTAGGAAAGTTGATACTATTTATTCACTTATTTTAGTGGTACTGGGGTTTGAAACTCAGGGGCTCTCTCTTTCTAGGCTGGCACCCAACCACTTCAGCCACACCTCCATCCCATGTTGGCAGCTTTGATATCTCCATGGTTCTCTGGCTAGCATGCTGGATTTCCTCAATCTCCCCTCTATCTCTTCTGGGGTAATGACCTTGAACCAAAAAGCCTTTCTTTTCTTTTCTTTCCTTTCCTTTTCCTTTTTTTTTTTTGTTGTTGGTCATGTGGCTTGAACTCTGGGCCTGGGCGCTGTCCCTCAGCTCTTCAGCTCAAGGCTAGCTCTCTACCACTTGAGCTACAGCACTACTTCCAGTTTTCTGGTGATTTATTGGAGATAAGAGTTTCCTGGCCTTTCCTGCCTGGGCTGGCTTTTAACCACGATACTCAGATCTCAGCCTCCTGAGTAGCTAGGATTACAGGCATGAGCCACCAGCATCCAAAAACCATTTCTTTGAAGCAGCTGCCATCTTTCTTTCCTACTTTGACCAGACTGGGGAAAGATTTCTCATGATCTGCCTTGAAATGTCTCCCATTGTTGACAGATTACCTTTCACAAGCCCAGTAAAGAGAGCAATCCCTCCTGTGATTCTCTGGGTCACACTTGCCCTAGCATGTGCAGACAGTGGGTTTCACAGGAACAAGCAAGTGTGGCAGCATAGATGTCCTTGCACTAGCCATTTGTCCAGGACTGTACAGTGTGGGTTTTGTAAACTATTCCCACATGTCCTAAATAAATGAACAACCTACCAGGCCACAGGCACGCAACCCAGCTTCATTGTCTGTAGAAGGGATGTGCCAGGCTTCCTGTTCATAACAAGATGCCTGGTACCAGCTTTATGACTTGTGTGTGCACAGGTACTCGGGACCAGCTTGCTGACCTTTTTCCATTCAAGCCTGGAGTTCCATCCATCACTTGAGTCACACCTCCTCTTCTGGCTTTTTGGAGGTTAATTGGAAATTAGAGTCTCTCAATCAGGCTGGCTTGGAACCATGAATCTCAGATCTCAGACTCCTAACCAGCTAGAATTAGAGGTATGAGCCACCCGTGCCCACCTCCAAGCTATGTGATTTGGAGTAAGTCCCTCTGTTTCCTTATCTGAAAGTGAAAGGAGGAGAGGAAGGAGGAGTGGACTTTGCCAGCAAATCTGCCCGCTCTAAATTTCTGCCTGCTCTAAATTTAACAGATCTGCCCTAAGTAAGGTAAATACCCTTCATCTCTGCAAGTACGTGGAGGAGGCTACTATTGTGTGCAGGGCACAGAGCCTACCTTTTGTCTAGCAGGGAAGCCATCCCCCCCACCCCCCACCCCGGCCCACAGTAGGACACCTTCTTAGAGCGGGTACCTGCTGTGTAGATCCGGGAAGCACCAGCTCTAAGTCCTCAGCTGAGCACCCTCTCCCTTCCCTCCCTCCAGGGGAAGACACGTGGCGACTCTGCACACTTGCTGTTGATCCTGGAACACTGGATCTGGGAAGATCTCAGCCTTACAGCCGCAAACATGGAGTTGTGGCTCAGGAAGGGCTTTTTCTTTTCTTTTTTTTTTTTTTTTTAAAGAAAGTCTCCAGCTTCTCCCCTCCCGCCGGGGTGGGGCACAGGGTGGAAAGTTCCTGTGAGTGAAAAGCTGTGACCCTCACTGGAAGGAGGGGTGCCCTGGCACTTGAGCAAGCCTGTGGGCAGCCCCCTGAGCTAGACCGTCTTGGAAGCCGAGTCTGCGCCCCCGCAGAACTTCCTGCCCGATGTGGCCACAGCCTGTTCAGCCAAGCACCGGGGACGAGGGAACGACTGGCGTCCCGTCCCCGGGAGCCTCACGGAGTTACAAGTAGGCCGTCTGTCCTCGGGGACAGACGTGAGAGCCAGAGCCCGCCCCGCCGCGCCAACAGGCGGCTGGAGCCATACGAAGCGCATTAACTATTAATAATTTCCAGTTGTTTGCTCGCTCCCCCAGGCCTCAGCAGCCCGGGACTCGGCTCGGGCTCCCTTGGACCGTCCCGGGTCTGGAGTTATATTAGCGCCTCCCGGGCACCGCGGGGACAGTAAGAGGTCAAGCGCGCACCTCCAGAGCCCGGGTGCGAGCAGGATCCTCAAGCACCCCCACTCAATCGCGGTGAGGGGCTGAAAGTAGGGCCAGGGCGCCGGGCGCACCAGCGGCGAGGCTCTCCCGGCGCCCCTCGCGCAGGGCGATCGGCGGCCCGGGGCGGGCTCGGCGGCGCACGGCGGGAGCGCAGCGGCCCCTGGCGCTCGGCCCCGCGGCGTGGTCAGGACGGGCGGGGCGGGGCCTAGGCGGAGACGGGGCGGGGCCAGGACGGCCGGGGCGGGGCCGGAGCGCAGCGGCCTCCGAGTCCCCGGGCCGCGAGCGGGCTGCGGGCAGGGAGGGTGGCGGGGAGGGCAGCGGGCCCTCGCTGCCCACGATCGCCCGCGACCCCAGTACCGGCTGCCTGAGGGCCCCAGCCTACTCGCACCACCATGGTGGGCCGGCTGAGCCTGCAGGATGTCCCCGAGCTGGTGGACACGAAGAAAAAGGGAGACGGCATCCTAGACAGCCCGGACTCGGGGCTGCCCCCCAGCCCCAGCCCCAGCCACTGGGGGCTCACGGCGGCCGCGGGCGGCGGCGGCGGCGGCAGCGGCGGCACCGGGGACCGCGCGCCCGTCCCCGGAGCGCTGGAACCCGACGTGGCGGCGACCTCCGCGGCCCAGGTGAGTGGCCCTGCGTGATTCCTTCCCTCCGGCTGCGGGGCGCCGGGGTCGGAGGGGGGAGGGGGGGCGGGGAGACCATCGCACGCCGCCGCCTCCGGGTCCCGCCGTCGGCGCGGCCATCCGCCCGTCGGGTTGGCGTGGCTGTCGCCGGGAGCCCGGGGCGGGAGCGCCGCCCGGGAGAGCCTGGCCAGCTGGAGCCGGTGGCTGGAAAATTGTCATCGCCTGGGAGGCGCGGGAGCCCCGGGAGAGAGGCGAGCCGCCGTCTCCCCCCCACCGGGGGCTGCCAGCCTGCGGCTCGACCACATTCCTGCCGTGGCAGGGCGGGACACCGACCGGGAACCCCAGTGCCCCCGGGGCTGACGACTGACGGTAGGCCCGACGCCCTCCGGCCCTGCCCGTGGCCAGCGGCCGCTCCCCCCGGCGGCCTCCTCCTGCCCGATCCCATCCCGGGAGCCGGGTGTGCTCTGGGCTCCCCGATTCAGAGCAAACCCAGCCAGCCTTCTAGGCCCTTTAGAGGGGAGCCACTCCATAAGCCTCCAGCCCACCCCCTCTCCCCCTCTCCTTGTACCCCCCCAGTCCTGAACAACTCACCCTGAACTTAATTAGGGAGGGTGAAGAGTTCAGAGGACCGTAACTTTTAATATGCTACTTTTTTTTCTTTAAATAAAACGTATTTAAAGAAAAAAAAAAAACCCCACCAACCCTGTGTTGCCTTTAAGTAGAGCTCTGGGGAAGCCACATCCTGTCTACAGACAAAACGCAGCAGCATTCGGGCTGAGGGCAGCTGTGGACTGCCCGCCCACCTAGGGTGATGTATTCAGGGGCAACAGGTTCCTAAGGACCCACCTTGGAGCTTTGAGGGTACCTGGCCTTCATGACCAACTGACGATGCTGTCTCTCAACAGGCACTGTTACCTCTTGTTTCCATTCCAAGACCCTACTGGCTTCTGCTTGGCCTTCAGAGCGCTCTGCATCACCCTTTCTAGTCTCATCTTCCACCTGCCCTGACCTCAGATCATGGGTGCTTCCAACATTCCCTCTTCCATCTGGCAGGCATATAACCCCTTACTCTAGTCCTCCTCCTCCTCCTCCTTCTCCTTCCCCTTCATTTTTTCCCCCACCTCAAGACTGGGATTCAAAGTCTGTATCTGATGCTTTCGCTCTACCACCTAAGCTCCGCCTCCAACCCCGACTCCAGCCCTTCTATGCCCAACTCTTATCCCCTCCTCTGGGAAGCATCCTTCCCAGAGCCCATGGCTTTATTCCTCAGTGGCCTCTCATACAGGATCCTGTTATAACACAAGCTTCCCCATCCTGCACCTGCAGCCAGGTGGGCACTCAAGGATGTCTGATGGGAAAATAAGACAGAACAAGGGTAGCACATGCTTGCGTGGATACCTGGGAGAAGGTTGCTGGGTGCATGTTAGAGAGCAGACACCTCCAGCCCAAAGCCCTTAGGACTCTGTGGGAGGTGCTTCTGCCACTGGGGAGTGTCTGGCAGCCATAGAGCCAAGGGCAGAGCAGGGCCCACTGTCAGTATTTGAAGACTGTTTCCAGAAGGTTTGTAAGCAGCCAGTGCCCACATCTTAACACACACACACACACACATATATTCTCTATGAACTTTTTTTTGGTGCTGGTCCTGGGGCTTGAACTCAGGGTCTGGGCACTGTTCCTGAACTTTTGTGCTCAAAGCTAGCGCTCTATCACTTTGAGCCACAGTGCCATTTCCAATCTTTTAGTAGTTAATTGGAGATAAGAGTCTCATGGATTTTTCCTGCCCAAGCTGGCTTTGAACCTCCATCCTTAGATCTTAGCCTCCTGAGTAGTTAAGATTACAGGCATGAGCCACCAATGCCCAGCTTTGTTTTTTTTTTTTTTTTCTTTTTCTTCTGGACATCATGCTTGCTTGGTTAGCTACTCAGCTGGTATTTTATCACTTAGGCCACACCTCCAGTCTTGCTTTTTTTTTGGTGGTTATTTTGGAGATGGAGTGTCATAAAGTTTTCTGCCTGAGCTGGTTTTGAACTCCAGCTTCTGGATCTTCACTTCCTGAATAGCCAGGATTATAAACACGAGTCACTACTGCCAACCTTGACCTTATTTTGAACCCACACTCTTCCCAGCCTGGGCTTATTGACTTTAGGAGTTGGACCTTGACAGCTCTTCACTTCTCCCTTTCTTGGTCCTCTTTGGCTTTTGCACATTTGAACCCTGCAGCCCCACTTGATGTGGCCTCGCAGAGTGAGGGTCTCAGAGCCAACTTCCTAGAAATGCTTACCTCTCCTGTCCTGGCAGACCTAGGGGTGAGACTGCCACCTCCACACCCTGGCCCACATGTAGATCTTTCTTTCAAATTAGGTAAAGAAAATAACAGATTCTAAAAAAAACCAGCTGCTGCTGAGGTTACTCTGCATTGTACTTAGCTTTGCATCCGGAACACACAAGCTCTGAGTTTAGCAAACTGGGTGCCTGGGATGGAACTGTCTCCTGATGAATCAATGCAAACTGGAAACAGTCCCCCTTCAGGAGGCTGCACCCCAGTGTCTGAGTTTCCAGGATAGTGGAGGAGACATGAAGAAAATTTCAATGTTCCGTAGCGAATGGAAGGGTTTCTCTGTTGAGGGTGGTTGGGGCTCTTAGGACCCCAGAAGCAAAGGATTCATGAGAGTGAACCTTTAGTGAAATAAAATCCCTGGTGGCATCTTCCCCTTCTCTTTCCTTCCCTTCACTCCTCTTCTTTGCTTTTCGTTTGCCTTTCTAGACTGTTGCCGAGACAGTGTCAGAGGGGGTGCTGTATTTTGGAAGGTTCCAGAGAGTTAAGCTGGGGTTTGTGCTTTTCTGGTTGCATGGTTGCTGTGGCATAGGGCCCCTGGCTCTGGCCACCATCCTGGTGTGTCATGCATCTGTTTCCTCTATTCTGCCCTTCACAAAACCACACAGATAGAAGAGTGTGTAGAGGAGGTCCCAGTGCACGGCATGACTTCTAAGGGTATTGAGCATTCAGGATGGGCCTGACATTTGAACACAGACCTCCTGGCTTGCTGTTCAGGGTTGTACCTCAGCGGGTTCAGGATAAGGGGGCCCAGGTCCAAGTGAGGTATTCTAACCACCTTCTTCTCTGTCCTAGAAGAACCCAGCATCTCTCCCTCATGTCCTGGCTGCTGGCTACTCACCAAGGCTCTGTCCCCTGTCTTTTGGCGAAGGAGTTGAGTTTAACCCCTTACCACCGAAGGAAGTAAGGTAAATACAGCAGTCCCTGAGTTGATTTCTTAAATTTTCACTTAAAAAAAAACCAGACATAATTATTTTTTAACTTAGTTCATTGTGAAAATATACCAAAGATTATTAACCATATGGTAGATATTTTTTCCCTAACCAATTAAATACGTAAACACTGTTTTTGAAATACAAATGAGCTCCTGGGATACATAAAGTTATGCAAAGTGCCTTAGGCACTTCACATATCGTGGCCCTGGGATGCTAGAACCTGTGTGGAATACGGCTTCCTCTTTCCAGGAGTTGCTGTCTGGGTCCCCCTCTTCAAGGTGCTGTGGGCTGTTTCATGCTGTGTGTGGATGAGCAAGTACCAGTCTTCCTCGGGGCATGAGCTCATGCAGGACTCTCAGGGCAAAGAGTCATGGAGAGGCTCTGTTAAAGATCTGACTTTTGGAGCAAGGATTTCACTTTTGGTGTCTGGGGGGTTTTACAGCAGGAGTTGCAGTTGGTTAGCAAAAAAAGGCTCTTTGATGTAGATCAGTAAGAAATGTGTCGCTCTGCTGAGGTGAGCAGTTAAGCCTTGATTCTTGTGAAGTTTGTGTTTCCAACAAAGTAGGATGTGACTTCATGACATTAGTTCCAACAGCCTCTTTGCTGCTTGTCCAGGGAGAGCAGAGGCTTTCTATCCAGTTCACAGAGAATGCTGCCCCTTGCTCTCCCACCCATGGCCAGGGGCTGCCAGGTGCAGTTCTTTTTAATTTTTTGTGTCAGTACTAGGGCTTAAACTCAAACTCAGGGCTTGGCATTCTTCCTTAGATTTTCACTCAAAGCTAGTGCTCTAGTACTTGAGCCACCACTCCATTTCTGGCTTTTTGGTGTGATTAATTGAAGATAATAGTCTTATAGACTTCCCTGGGCTGGCTTTAAACTTGGATCCTTAGATCTTAGCTTCCTGAGTAGCTAGGATTACAGGTATGAGAGCCACCAGTTCCTGGCTTGGTAGTTTTTTTTGTTTTTTGGTTTTGTTTTTTTTTTAAGGTAATACACACACACACACACATATATATATATATATATATATATATATATATATATATATACATATATATATTAGTGTCTTTGAAGTTGTAAAAATAATAACAATAATACATGTAGGGAAGTAAACGCTTTACTTCTCTAAAAAATATTACTCCTCCCCCCCAAAAAAAGCTGGGCACCAGTGGCTCATGCCTATAATCCTAGCTACTCAGGAGGCTGAGATCTGAGAATCATGGTTCAAAGCCAACCTGGGCAGGAAAGTCCATGAGACTCTTATTTACAGTAAACCACCAGAAAACCAGAAGTGTCACTGTGGCTGAAGTGGTAGAGCATTCGCCTTGAGCTGAAGAGCTGAGGGACAGTGCCTAGACCCAGAGTTCAAGCCCCATGACAGACAAAAAAAAAAAAAAAACCTCCAAAAAGGAATTTAATAATACTCCAGGAAATGGAAACAAGAGGCTTTTTTCTTTGTTGCTGTTTTCATTTTCTTTTTGTCTTGTTTGTTCATTTATCTGATTTTGGGAGTGTAAGGGGAGACACAGAAATGGAGGGACTAAGGGTAAACAAATGCAGCAGTGACACTCACTAGACACTGTATTGAAAATGAACTATACAACTAGTGGGTGAGGATGGGAGGGAAAAACTGGGAGAGAGCGAGGGAAGGAGTGACATTGTCCGAAAACAAATACACTCATTACCTGACTTAGGTAACTGTAACCTCTCTGTATATCATCTTTATAATAACAAAAAACATTTTAAAGGTAAAGTCGTAGATAAATATACATGGGAGCTTATTTTATGAATATCAACACTGTAATCAAGCTTTTGCTCAGGTCCCTGAGTACCTGGTGGTTTCCAAAGCAAAGGCCAAGATGGACCAAATACTGGGATCTAATATAGCCAAGTTCCCAGAACCAGCAATCAGAAGTCTTGGTTTTTCCTCCTCCAGGTGCCAGTGGCTCACACCTGTAATCCTAGCTACTCAGGAGGCTGAGAGCTGAAGCTCACAGTTCAAAGCCAGCCTGGGCAGAAAAGTCTGTGAGACTCTTATCACCAATGGAAGTGGCATTGTGTCTCAAAGTGGTAGAACGCTAGCCTTGAGCAAAAGAGCTCAGCGATGGAGCACAGGCCCTGAGTTCAAGGGCTACAACCAACCAAAAAAAATAAGTAAATAAAAATAAAGAGCTAATTGTGGTCCCCTCAAGGGACCTCCCCCATAGAGCAGTCAAGTCTATATCATTCTATAACAGTCATTCTTGCTCCACCACAGGCATGTTAGGGAAAGGTAGACATTTTTATTATTGCATGGAATGTTCTTACACACACTTAAGAAGGCTAAGATGTAACTAGGCTATGTAACCTTACACCGCCCATCATTAACTAGAACACTGTTATGTTGTAGATGACAGCACTTGCTGTGTGTTGACATTCTGCCCCTTTATTATTGGGCACCCTTTACAGAAAGAGGAAACTGAGGCCAGGACAGTTTAAGCCACTTGACTTAAAGGTTCCTAGCTTATGTAATCAGAAGCAAATCCAGCATCTGCAGCCTGCAGTGGGAATCTTGTCCCAGCTTTGGGCTAAGGGTGTGGCTCAGTGGTAGAGCATTTGCCTAGCATGTGCCAGGCCTTGGGTTGGATCCCCAGCACTGCATATGATAAGTCCTGGACCTACCACTCTGTAGCACCCTGACCTTCATCTCTGCATTTCCCTTTCCTGCTCCCATTTTTGTGAGGGAAATTAAGTTAGATCTTCTGGGTAAAGTGCTTAGAATATTCTGCCTGGCCCAGAGTAAGAGACTTCATAAAGTCTCTCTGCTGCTTCTCTCTGTATAGCCACAGCTCAGTATTTATATCCCAGGAGGGAGTTAAAGTCATAGCCAGAGCCACAGGGTCACGTTTGTAATCCTAGCTACTCAGGAGGCCAAGATCTGAGGGTCATGGTTCGAACCCAGCCTACACAGGAATTTCCACGAGACTCTTTATCTCCAATGAACTATCAAAAAAACCAGAAGTGGAGCTGTGGTTTAAGTGATAGTGTGCCAGCTTTGCCTGACAAAGCTAAAAAATACACCTGGGTTCTGAGTTCAAGCCTCCAGTACTGGCACAAAACAAACAAAACCAAACAGTCACAGGCAGGTCCCTGGGCTTCCTAGCTGCGAGGAGCAGCTTCATGCTGCCTTGTGTCTCCCCTCCAGGTACACGTCCTCGGTCAAGTACGACTCTGAGCGGCACTTCATCGACCATGTGCAGCTGCCCTTGGGCCTGGCAGTGGCTTCCTGCAGCCAGACGGTCACCTGTATCCCCAACTGCACATGGCGTAACTACAAGGCCGAGGTGCGCTTCGAGCCCCGCCACAAGCCCATGCGCTTCCTCAGCACCACCATCATCTACCCCAAGTACCCCAAGACCATGTACACCACCACCCTGGATTACAACAGCCACAAGAAGCTGAGGAGGTTTTTGTCCAGCGTGGAGCTCGAGGCCGCAGAGTTCCTGGGCAGCGACGGCCTCTCGGATGACTGCTGACTTGTCCTCCCCAGACCACCTGGGGGCAAGTTGGGCAACATTGCTCTTGTGTTATTCCAATCCCAGTCCCACAGAAGTCTAACCTGGAGATACCTCTAAATCCAGCCGATGGGGGGCAGAGGGGAGAAGAAAATCACTGCATCTTATCATTACGGAGAGACTCGGTCTGGGTTTTGCATTTTCCAATCGCTTTTTACCAGGAGCACATTTCCTGGTTTGTTGCTGTGCTTTCTTCATTGAGGAAAGTCAATGAGGACCAGAGGGAAAGGACAGTGGAGCTGTGTGGAGGAGGGAGGGTGGAGGCGAGCTGGCGCTCTGGCAGCCAGTGTGAGTGTGAGGAAGAGCACACGCAGCCCCGCAGTGGAGACGCCACAGGGTGGAAACAAGTCAACTGTAAGAAATTTCAGCCCTGGGTCTCTTTGCTGCTTTCAAGAGTGGAGTGAACTCAGTATGCTATGACCCCCATATGTGTTCAATCTGGGGAAAGCCGAATTCCATTTCATTTTTATTTCCACTTCCATTTGAATTTCCTGTTAACCAAAACTCTTGGAATTTCTCGAGATCATTTTCATGATACTGAAAGAAAAAGGGCGGGGGGAGGGGAAAGAAAAGCCCAAACCACAATATGAGATGCTTTTAAGAAGGAAAGTTCGCCCTGTTCTTGTCTGCTTTGGGTTGGGGGGGTGGGGATGGGAGTGGGGGGAGATGCCGGATGGCCAGTTTGGGAGCCGGTGGCTTCTGTCTGGTTCCAGGTTAGGCTAGTTCCAGGCGTGGCTCTGGAAGAGCCTTTGCGTGCTTGGCATCTGGTTAATGTCTCCGCAGGCTGGAGGAACTCTCTTGATAGGTATTTTGGGGTTTCACAATACTTTCCTAGAGTTTGTTTTTTTTTTTTTTTTTCCCTAAGTCAAAATGTAGTAGAGGGCTCTTTTGGAGAGAAATGGCATTTAAAAAGGATGCTTTGGAAAAACACTTTCTGGAACTCCGTGAGGAAAGTTTCCACTCTGGACTTCCCGCTGAAGCCCCGTGGCCCTCCAGAGGAGGCAGCAGCGGTGGCGGTGGCCTATGCTCCTGCGACCCAGTCATCACGATTGCCCGCGCAAACTGAGTCTGGATGGATTGATTCCTAAGGCTTGGGTGGTGACCGAATGTTGGAAGAATTGGGTTTCAGCCAGAAGGCAAAGAATCTGGTTTAGTCCCCTTTCTCCTCTCCCCACCCCCCGTGTGAAGCCACAATGCAGTGGAATGACGTCACAATCCAAATATCACCATCTTGGACATTTCTACCACCGTGGACACAGAAGTGGCCATCACAGAGTCAGCCATGAACCCATGAGGTCCCCTAGCCATTGTATAGGTTAGACCACGCAGCTACAACAACACAGCCAGAGCCAAGTGGTTGTGGCACACCAGGCTGCTCCCTGCCCACCTACCTCCCATCATCACCCCACCACCCAGGCCTGGCCCCATCCCAGCCCATGCTTCTTAGAACCTGCCAACCCTGTGATGCTGGAGGAAAGAAAAAGTCAGATGGATTTGTTTTTTACCCCCCTCCAATATTGAAAAGAACAAACCATACATATGTCCTTTGACTACATCCAAGAGGTGTCAGGTCTTCCTGTAAGCTTAGCCTCCTGCTGTATCTCTGGCTTTCTGTGATGGCTTCATCTGTCCTGAAAGTGGAGCGGAGAGCTTCCTGGGTCACCAGGACCCACTGCAGGGAATTTTGCTACCAGAAAGCTGTGGAATGAGAAGTGTTCTCACTTAAAAGTGACAGAGCCCAGAAAGCCAGAAGTGGTGTCATGGCTCAAGTGGTAGAGCACTAGCCTGGAGCACAAAAGCTCAGGGTCAGCACACAGGCCCTGAGTTCAAGTTCCACAATGGACAAAAAAGATGCCAGAGCCCTCAGGCCACACTGTCCTCAGTTCCCCACTGACCACAATGTCTGCCATGTTGTGTCCCTGACCAATGGACACAAGCTGTTAGAGTCATAGCTGGCTTCATGGTTCCAATTTACCCAGGTTCAGCTTAGCAGGGACCCAATAAAATGGGCAGAGGAACACTCCAGAACCCCACAGCCTCCTCAGTCATGTGCACAGCAACCAATAGTGCCTTGCAAAAAAAAAAATATCAAATTATGCAGCCTTTATTGGCAAAAGTGGATTTTCATCTGACTTTGTCAAGTCACTTAGTGGTGAATGTAAAATTTAAATGTATGTTAGCATTCCCAAGGCTTTGCTCTGCCCCAGTGGGGACATTTAGACAACTGGGAATGACTTTGTGGGCAGCGTAGCAGGAGAGAGAATGTGGCTTTTGAATATAGCTGTGTTTTGTGGTATCTTGAAGATTTTGGGTTTTTTTGAGGGATTGTGTTAAGTTCAGACGGCTCCTTCTGGGTGTGTAAAGAGCCGGAACTGTATCTGTAAAGTAAGTAAGCGAGTGATGGTGGATGTGTACTGTGAGTGGAAAAGCAGGCTTTATTTTGTTAAGTTATTCACTGTACTTCTTTCTCATTTTCTCCTGCTTTCTTGAAAGTTTTAGAACCCGGAAGCGAGGGAGACATGGGGCACTCTGATGGCCGATCAAGTGTCGAGTGTCACCAGTGGGTAGCGGATGCCAGTCTTTTGTTTGCAAGGTAGAAGCTGTGATTTTGTTTTCAAACTCACTGATTCAAAAATAAGCATTTCCTAAGTGTGCAGGAGAGAGATATTTTGTTAATTAAAAGGCTTTTGGGTCAATCTCTTAAGTTATGGCTTTGATGTCCTAAGGATGGTTTGCATTTTCAGAGGAAACTTGCTTTCCTTTCAGATCACATACACTTTTAGATAGACTTCCTGTGAACCAGTATCTTTTCATTTGACACTTTTCCTGGTTTGAACCTTAGAAAATCCAAAATAGTATTTGACAAAAACTGTGTTAAAAAGAAAAGGTCCTTGACACCTGTCCCACTCAGTTTTGTTTTGTGATTTGTCATTTAGAAATAAATTATCTTAAAAAATAATAAGCTGAATGATGCTTCTCTCTTTTTAAAGTAAATTATAATATTTGGTTGAAGAGAATATCTTGTTAATATGCAGATAAGGAGTGGGAACTGGATGGTTTTATTTATCTATCTTTCCGTGTGTGTGTGTATGTGTGTGTGTGTGTGTGTGTGTGTGTGTGTGTGTGTGTGTGTGTGTGTGTGTGTTTACTGTACTAGGGCTTGAACACAGGGCCTGGGCACTGTCCAGCTATTTTGCTCAACGTTGATGTTCTGCCATTTGAGCCACAGTTCCATTTCCAGCCTTTTGCTGATTAATTGCACCTAAGAGTCTTGGGGATTTTTCTGCACAGGCTAGCTTTGAACCGTGATCCTTACTTAGATTTCAGTCTCTTGAGTAGGTTGGATTACAAGTATCAGTTCCTGGCTCCTGGCTGCTTCTCTTTCTTTAGACTAAAATGATTATGCCCTGCCTCAGCAAAATGAAGAAAACATCTCATTTTGAGAAATGTTAAGACATGATTACATTAAACAGTGTTACTGTACAGATATTTGAGGAGCTGAACACAGAAATTTTATGTATCTGTTTTTAATGGTCTATATTAATTGAACAGATGGGTTTCATTGTGATATCCCCATGCATGCCTATAATGTATTTCAATCAAATTTGCCTTTCTATTACTCTTTTTTTTTTTTTTGTCCGTTGTAGGGCTTGAACTCGGGGTCTGGGTGCCATCCTGAACCTTTTGCTCAAGTTCTACCACTTTTAGCCACAAGATTTCTGGTAGTTAATTGGAGAGAAGAGTCTCCCAGACTTTCCTGCCCAGGCTGGCTTTGAACTGTGATCCTCAGATCTCAGCCTCCTGAGTAGCTAGGATTACAGGTGTGAGCCACTGGCACCCAGCTTCCCTCTATTACTCTTTCTTATCCCTTCCCCACAAGAGAATTTGATTCTGGAACAGATAGGCACTCATTCCTCAAGTCCATCCACCTGGACCACAGCTGTGACTGGGGAGGTAGGGTCATTTCTTTCTATCTCCCTTTCCAGTGTGCCCCTCCCCCAACTTTCCAGGACAAATGCACACTAACCCACCCTTAATTTTATTGTGGTGCATGGCTTTGGACTGGAAGAACCTGCAGACATTAGACAATTAAAAGAAGACACCAGTACAGGAGCTCGTGAAGGAGTTTGCACCTGTGTGTGTCCAACATGTAATTTTTTTTTTTTTGGTAGGCCCTGAGACCTGAACTCTGGGCCTGGGTGCTGTCCCTCAGCTCTTCAGCTCAAGGCTAGCACTCTACCACTTGAGCACTCTACCACTTCTGGCTTTTTTTGCTTATGTAGTACTGAGGAATCAAACCCAGGGCCTCATGCATGCAAGGCAAGCGCTCTACCACTGAGCCACCTTCCCAGCCCCTGACATGTAATTCTTTTATGGAGGGACTATGATAGCAGGAGCAAGGAGTTGGGATGTCCTCACTTCTAGTACCTCACAAAGGGAGGCCAGTGGAAGCAATAGTACTTTTCATTGAACACTTGGATCTCTTCAATCTCAGGCTATCCTCTTCCCTATGGATAAGTCCTATAGGGGACCTGGAAAAAGGTTTGTAGTTGAGACTCCTGTAGCAAAAGACTAACAAGAGGGCTAGGAATGTGGCTTAGTGGTAGAGTGCTTGCCTAGCATGCATGAAGCCCTGGATTTGATTCCTCAGTATCACATAAACAGAAAAAGCCAGAAATGACACTGTGGTTCAAGTGGTAGAGTGCCAGCCTTGAGCAAAAAAAGAAGCTCAGTGACAGTGTCCAGGTCCTGAGTTCAAAAAGGGGGGGGGGGGGCTAGCTAGGGTTGTGGCTCAGGTGATAGAACACTCGCTTAACATGGCAACTTGACTTGAATCCCCAGTACCAGCACAAGAAAAGAAAGGAGATCTGTATAATTTGCAAAGCCACATAGAGGTCTGACTGGAGGACAGAAGGGTAACAAACTGGGGTTTGAGGTGCTTAGGAGGGCATGTTTGTTCACTTTCTTCTTGGCATTCCTGTGTGACATTCCATTCCTCCCGGATTTAGGGTAGGACACCTGGCACAGGCAGGTCTGCAGAGAAAAGGAAGGAGAGAGTCAGAGCGGGAGCTCCCTGGGGATTTATGGTCTGCCTCAAGGAAGGGATACCAGGAAGGAATTCCTGACTTTCACAGCCTGCTTCAAGGAAGGAATGAGGTAGAGAAGGTCTGAGAACTTCCTGCTTCTGGAGTTTTCTTATCTTCCTGAAGCTTAAAATATGTAGCATACAAGCCTGGTGCTTGTACACTCGGGCCTGAAATCCTTGCTATTCCAGAAGCTGAGATCTGAGAAGCAAGGTTTGAAGGTAACATAGGCACCAAATCTGAGGGCCTCTTATTTCCAATTAGCCAGCAAAAAGCTATGAAGGTATGGTTTAAGCTGAAAAAGAATGTGAGACCCTGGGCTGGGAAGGTGGCTCAATGGTAGAGTGCTTGCCTTGCATGCATGAGGCCCTGGGTTCGATTCCTCAGCACCACAGAAGCAAAAAGAAAAAAGCCGGAAGTGGTGCTGTGGCTCAAGTGGTAGAGCGCTAGCCTTGGCTGAAGAGCTGAGGGACAGTGCCCAGGCCCAGAGTTCAGGCCCCACAACCGGACCAAAAAAAAATAATAA